CTGTTTGCTGTTCCATGACTCCTCTTCCTCTCGGAACCTGCGCGAATGAGATAACACGCCAGTTCGATAGTATCATTGCTCCGAAAATGATCGTCTCTCCACAGGATCGTGATACCGGCATCCACGTCATACGAGAACGAGATGTTTCGGGTCCTTTCATCGAAAGACCGTACCTCGGATATTAGAGAAACCGGATATAAGAGACCATTTTCAATTCCCCGAGAGGTCTCTTATAAGCGGGTTCGACTGTACACATAGAGAGCTCAGAAGCATCAACAGGGATTTGCTCGAATCGAGTGTCTCTAATCACATCTTCCCTCAGGGCCTCATGAAGATCTGACCGACGCGGCGTCTTTTGTTATTCGGGAATTTCCGGCTCGTTGTGAAATACGAGACCCAAGGAAGCGCCGGATAGTTCCAATCGATTATCTGTACCATCGTTGCGCACCTAGAATTTTTCGGTAAGGCAGCATACTCGCCCGAGGAATCTTCGTGAAGAAGAATTATAATCCTTATCCGCAGTCACGGTGGGATGGAGCCATTCTTGTCCGCGAGCCAAGTGAGCTCTGCGATGATCATCGCAGATTTGCGTGTCTCCGATTTGATGGAGCGTCCGAAGAGGAAAAATGAGACTGGGTGAGCGAGCGCTCCGAATCTCTTCGTAGCTCTCGTTCAGGCACCGGAACGGTAGCGTTTGCGGGAATACGCTTCGCCTCGACTCCGAGACGAATTCATGCGCGGTAGTGCGCGCGCTCAGCGCATTGTTCAAAGTCGTCTGCAGTTGCACTTGACGTAAAGATTCGGTCGAACAGTTGACATCAACAGGCGGCAGCGAGAGCGATTGAGTATTTATTGAATAGAAAAAACGGCGCCGAATGGACTCAGCTGCGCCTCAGGTCTAACGAGCAGCAGATGTCTAACTAGTTCAATGATTTATACGCCCGCTTCGTGATCATGATCTCCGAATGATTTCAGCCAGTGTCTCTTCTGAGATCGAGCTCCGATCTAGCGGAAGGCACTGCAACGAGACAGAGGAGGAGGAATGAACTGCGATACATTTATTCTGTACTAGCGCGACCCGCGCGCTGTGCCGCGCCCCTGTCCACCACTCGATAAAAATTCACCAAGAAAGAACAATTTATAAGGACAGACTACATAAGTCAAAGAATCCCTCACAAATGACAACGATTAAAAAAAGCGACGGAAGAGGGACCTAGTCGTCATATGACCTATTCTAAACGATTAAATCGCAGAGCTTTTTTACGTATGACGACAGCGCTCAAACGTTGTTTTACTTCTCTGACTGAGACGGTATATTTTAGGTGGGAATATCGAGCTCTTCGAATATCACATTTCCCTTGTTGCTTCTCCACCAATCTTCGAGCTCTCGTGTTCTCGAATTGGATCTTATTGGGAACTGGATGCTTGTATTCCCAGTTGAGGAGAGATTCTTCCTAGCTTTGAACTCTTCACAGAGAGTTTTTGGAAATCCACGACTTGACCCTCACGATCATCAACTTTGTGTATCAGTGAGCCCCATAAGGTCAACGACACTATCTTCCTTGAATCATCCACGAGTAATATGTTTTGCCGATTTCGTATATCGCCCGCTTTCCCCGAGTATGAGTGAATTTCCCCGACGTCGTAGATTATAGCCTGTAAATCTATCATCTTCCCCACCTCCGTATCTCTAATCTGATTTATCGTGAAGTACTTTTCAACCTTTTTGGGGAGATGATCTCCGTCGATCTGTCTCACTTCACTGATCTGAAAAATAGGTTTTTCGTGTTTCATATTCTAGGCACTTATCGAAAGAGAAAGAAAGTGTAGAAAAATCACCTTTCCCAGAAGCAATTCACACGTATGGTTCGTGACCTTGTACAGAGGATGCGAGGGCCTTTGTTTGAAATCACATATCTGATAGCAGTGCCCCGTTTGTATTTTTTCGAACATTTCGTGGCCGAGTTCCCCTGTCACCAGTACATTAATATCGGCTGTATTGTCCGCGAGAGTGAATGAAAAGAGGTTCCCATCGGTGTTATCCTTCTTGAAAGTTTTCATGTCGCTCTTAGTCATCACTCGTCCTTCGATTCTTCCACCGATTCGATCCAAACTAATGTCATTTAGTGGACGAATTTTTTTCGAAGAAGGATTCCCAATAGATTTCCCTCCGCCAGATTCGTCCCAAGACCTCTTTCGATTGCTAGGACCAGGGGATCCGTCGGCAGGGGACTCAGTCTCGCTTAGCAATCGGGATTCGTCCCTTGGATGAACTCTCTTTTGCTCTGACGGCGTATTTTGAGATCTCCTCCTAGGTTTTGGATTCTCGTCCTTCCCTGATGGCATTTCGGAGATTAAAGAAGAGTCCCGGGAAGCTTCGTTCTTCGGTAGATAAACTGATACCAATGGATAATCTTTTATAGCAGATCACTATGTATAGGCGCCAATTGACAATGTCAGCGACATCTCCAGTTTTTGGAGCGGAAGAAGAAATTCTGCGTTTGAGAATTCCTTCGGATATTATAGATACGCTACGGGGCAAGAGACACCTTAAGTGTCGTCGAAATAGTGCAGAATTGAGGACGCTGGGTGCTCCGATAAGAGCGCTAGGGGCGCAGATGCAAACGCTGGGAACGTAGAATGGAACCCCTGGAGAAGAAAACTGATCGACAAAGTGGATCGGGACTCATAGAGCGTCATGATCCGATTCCATTGAAGAAACGGAGGCTTTTCCGGAACCCTTGTTATTTGTTAGATCTTGTTGTTGGTACCACAATCAAATTTTCCATATTTTTCACTCATGCCTTGTTATTCTGTCTGGTTATTCATTATTTGTTCTGTCTGGTTATTCATCATCTGTTCTGTCTGGTGCGTCATTTGTCTGCTATTTGTTGGACATTATTTTCATATGAGTGCTTTTGCATAAACGATATTCTTTGTTTTCCCTTCAGGTGTGTAGACGAATAGATTCGATGGTTTTCCAACTCGAGAACAGGCCACGTACAGTTGTCCATGCGAAAAACACGGATTTTCTAAGTTCAAGCCACAAACTTGCAGAGATTGACCTTGAGCCTTATTGATCGTCATTGCGAATGCGAGCCGTACGGGAAATTGCAACCTTCTGAACTCAAAAGGAACATCTGATGGGGTTAACGGAATCCGGGGCAGCAAAACATGCTCACCACCGAATTTACCAGACAAAATTGTCGCTTCAATAACATTTTTCGTGAGTTTCTTGACTGAGAGTCTCGTACCGTTACACAGTCTTGGGGGATGAATATTTCGAAGACAGATGATCGTCACTCCCTCTTTCAATCTGAGAAGATGCGGTGGCATGCCAGGTAAATCGAGCGAATTGAGGAACTCGGTCGGGTAATTGACGGCGTCATCTTGGTGCAACACGGTATCTATCGATTTGTATGTTTCTTCGCAACCTGGAATCTCTTCTTGAATGGATAAATTAATATCATCAACATCCCTGTTAGTGGGAGCCAAAAATAGCTCGCGCGCTCAGCCATGTCCGGTTCGTATAGTTGACTGCGATTTGTGGGAAGACATTCTCAATCAAATCCTCCTTAGACGATGTCATCGTGCAAAAATCAACGGGCAGAGTCATTCTTGCAGATTCATCAGTTGGAATGTTTCCACACCCTATATCGAGTAACTGTTTCGCGAATTTCTCAGCCGACATATCGTCCTGTAGGCGCACACGCATGTTAGTCGTCAGTGTCAGCGTCTTCACATGCCGCCATAAGAAGGACAGTTTTAAGCACGCACTCAGTTCGTCAGCGGGTGTCGATCGTTGTATCACTGGCAGTGTTTGACGGAAATCCCCAGATAAAAGTATCAGTGCTCCTCCAAATAGTTTTTCATTTCCTCTCAGGTCTCTCAATGAACGTTCTAAAGCTTCCAGTGCTTTTTTGTGTGCCATCGTACATTCATCCCATATAATAAGCTCACAAGTTTGGAGAACTTTTCCCATGCCCGACTTTTTAGTCACCTTACATGTGGGAGTATCAACTGTGTGCAAATTTAAAGGGAGCTTGAGAGCTGAATGTGCTGTTCGCCCTCCATCCAGGAGTGTTGCTGCTATACCAGATGAAGCCATTGCTAGTGCAAGCCTACCCTGAGATCGAATTCTCGCCAAGAGAAGCGATATAAGAAAGGTTTTTCCTGTCCCCCCTGGTGCATCTAGAAAATAGAACCCTCCTTCACGCATCCTAATTGCTTCCTCGAGCGTATCGTAAACATCACGTTGTTCCGGTAACAATTTCGGGAGATTGGTTTCCACGAATAAGGCTAAATCCTGAGCATTGTAGTTCCTTTCGCGGTCAATATCAGGATCAGAAATTCTATTTCCTGATCTATCAGGTGCGAACAATCCGAGTTGATTCAATCGTCGGTTCATAATGGATAAGCAGGAATCTTCGATTAAAATCAAGGCCTCATTGAACATGTTCAATGAAAACGGAAGATTAGGATCATGGATTTCTCGCCGCCGATCTCTCAGTATATCTTCGGT